ATATGATTTATGTATACGTCTGTGTGTACAGGTAGCATCTAAATAAGTAGTCTTATTCTAAGTTTTAAATTTTTAAATTATAATGTAAGATGAGGGTGGTATAAAACTAGTGGTAAATTTCATTAGTGCTACTATGAAAACACATACATCTTCACCAACAAAATAAATTTGTGTATTCCTGCAAGACAAAAATTTTACGCTGTAAAAACCACCTCAGTCTTAAAATATTTTCTAACCTATATTGTACTCTCTTCGACTTTCTACTACAATTTCTCTCACACTTTTTTTCCGCTGCCTCACTCTTCACTTCATCCAAAATATAAACAAAGCACAAGTCAGCAGAAAGAAAATGTGGAAGAAATTTCAACAAGTGTGTCATAACCGCAGAATCTGCTCTTAGCAGTCTTTGTCTGATAGTTTAAAAAGCAAATTTTTTTGTTAATCTAAAGAATAAAAAAGACAGTCTGTATCCCGCGACAGTTTTATACTACAAAACAAAGTTTTCAATTTTTCACGTTATACTGGCAATTAAAAAAGTAATGTGATATCTTTTCTGTCTTTGAAGAGGTGCTAAATGTCGTAGGAGAAGCGTAATTTACTGAAACAAATTAGGATAATAATGAGCAATTCTGATCAGTAATTTAGCGATCAATTAATAATCTGAGAATGAGTTTGTGATCAGCTTTAGTCTTATCTAAAATCACGTTTTATTATGATGTATTTTGAAAAAAATTCAAAGAGTACTTATTGACGAAAATTTTTTTGGTAATACATTTAGGGGGACAGAAAGAAGCGCGCTTTTTTTTAGTACAATGCTATTCTTATAGAAAGTTTCTATACACGACAATTTAGTCAGAACTGTTCTGACAATTATAATAAAATAAAAGAAGAATTTTGTGCAACTTTAATAGTTAATACAATCATAATCTATCTCAAAAAAAAGTGACAAAAAGAATAAAAAACCTGAATATGACCAAAAAATTGTCTTTGCTAACTGTTCAAACTAGAACTCAATTGTCGCAAATCACCTGCTTTTTATGCTAATAATTTTATCAGGTCTAGCACTATCAACGTTACTGCTTTTTGACTGTATTCTATAAAATCATTACAAATTACATTACAAATTACAAAAGCATTACAAATTCTTGCTTATGAACTTTTTTGTAAACTTTGTAAAGCTATCATGACATTCTAATGTACCATTAAGACAACATTTTTCTGAACCAACTTCTAATAACTTGTTCTTAGATTGAGTTCAAATGACACCAGCTGTAAAGAAAATTTTTCTTTTGTGTTAAATGATACGTTAAGCAAGAGAATTAAGTTGATACAAGTTATCGGTAAAAAAATATTCAAATTAATAATATTATATTAATTTTTGTTATCAGCTATGTGACACTCAGTGAAGCAACACCTAAAATTTCAACACAAAATAAGAAACTTTGCCGACTTTGTTGCTGTTAATAGTTTTTTTAATCATTAAAAAAGTGTTTCATTTTTCTGTGCCATTTCACTGTGAACTTGCCTCCAACGTTCAGATATCAACAACATCAGTTCATGATGACGGTTCCACTAGAATTTTTTAAGTTATAAACTTCAATAAACAAAGAAATTTTGTATAAAAAACAATTTTTTGTTTTTAGTCTAAGATTCAAGACAAGTATTTCTTTGTTTGACAATATATGGTTGTTTTTAAAATTTTTTTATACTAAAGAATTGTTCAAGTCTTTTGTCGCATTCAACATACTAAGTAAGAAGCATCTTTCGCCTCTTAATCATTTCTTAATATCAATAGCAAATAAGTTTTGATACAAACTTTGTAGCTCACCATATTGGTTTCAATAACACTGTCAATGATAATCGTTTTAATTAAACCATTTACATGGTTATAGATGAATTTGTGGATGTGGTAGTTAACCGAGCGCACATCTGTGACCGTGATATGGCTCAGTTTGTATTCATGATCGTTGATGCCGATGGTGATGGCCGAATTACATTCCAAGAATACAAGGATATCATGACTGAGGTGTCATAAAAAATACTCTTCAAATTTGTTATCAAGCTGTAAAAACAGCGCACTTATTTGTTTGTTGCTTTTGTTTTTTTCCCACTTTTCTTTTTTTGCTGAGCAAAATCTAACAAACGGCAGTTGAAAAAATTCGTTATTTTTGTTATTTTGAACAGATAATGAGTATTCTAAAAAAAATAGATAAGAAAGTTGTTTTTTGTTTTGTAATTATTCAAATATAAACTTAAAAATATCAATAAAATTTGTCTCTTGTTAACTCTGAAGTCATTTAATGCTGCCTGTGTTTTTTTCATTCGTGAAACTCAACAGTTGAACACAATCAAAAGATAACAGTGAAAAAGATGATTGTTCAGTATTATTATTGTGTAATTTATATATTGAAAGAAATTTTTTTTTGTTTTGTTTAGATAACTGGTCAGAAATTTCAGTGACAGTAATGCATTTCTTCATATTTGTATTTGTCGCCACCATCTGATCTATACAAAAATTGTTGTTCACTGTGTTTAATATGCTTAATTTTAAGGTCTCATTGTCTCATTTATTATGTAAGCTTGTAAATAATAATAATATTATTTTTATTTTTATTTTTATCCTCAATAATGTCACTGTTACCGCTGTTACCGCTATGATTATCGTAAAGAAAGACGATGACAGCATCAATTTCCCTTCGATGGTTTATAGGGTTGACCAGAAAAGACAGCTACTGTTGCCTATTCAGAATGCGAAAAAAAAAAAAAAAAAAAAAAAA